TCCAGAGCAAGGGAATGCAACACCTATTTAACAAGATAGTCAATGAAAATTTTCCCCACCTCAAAAACGACCATCTTAACTACATCACAAAAGCTTATCGAACACCCAACAAGCAAGATCCCAGGAGAAACACTTCTAGGCACATAATAGTAACAATGATGGATCTGAATAATAAGGAAACAATCCTGCATGCAGCAAAAATGAAGAAGGAGCTATACTACAACGGGAAAAAAATTAGAATCACTGCAGATCTCTCCACACAAACAATGAATGCAAGAAAAGCCTGGGAAAGCACCATACGAGCCCTGAGAGCCAATAACTGCCAACCCAGACTGATATACCCGGCAAAGCTAGCATTCACATTCGATGGAGAACTGAAAACTTTTAATAGCAAAGAAAAACTAAATGAATACATAAACATTAAGCCAGCATTACAAAGAATTCTAAGAGGGGGGACACAACCTGAAGAAAGCAACCAGGAACTGGGACCTGCCCCAAACAGGCATTACTCAAAGTCTAACTGAGCAAGCACAGGAAGAAAGGAAAGAAGAAAAACTTAGGAAAACGGAATGGCAGGGACAACAATGCATCTCTCTATACTTTCTCTTAATATAAATGGGCTGAATTCGCCAATTAAAAGAAAACGAACTGAGGACTGGATCAGAAAACAAGACCCATCCATCTGTTGCCTTCAGGAGACCCACCTCTCAGCCAAACATACAAACAAACTCAGAGTGAAGGGGTGGAAAAGGATCTACCAATCAAATTCCCCCAATAAGAAAGCAGGTGTAGCTATCCTGATATCTGACAAAATAAACTTTTCATTAAAATCAGTACAGAAAGACAAGGACGGACACTACATATTAATAAAGGGAACAATCCAAGAGGAGGATATAACCATCATCAACTTATATGCCCCAAATATTGGTGCACCCAGATATGTTAAACAAATGCTCTCAAACTTACAGAATAAAATAGATCCCAATACGATAATACTAGGAGACTTTAACACGCCACTCTCACCAAAGGACAGGTCTACCAACCAGAGGATTGGTAAAGAAGCTACCGAATTAAGTGAGGCCATACTTCAAGCGGAATTAACTGACATCTACCGAGTATTTCACCCTAAAACAACACAGTACACATTCTTCTCAGCAGCTCATGGAACTTTCTCCAAAATAGACCATATCATAGTTCATTCAAGGAACTTAAGCAAATACAAAGGGATCGACATAATCCCCTGTATCCTATCTGACCACAGTGGAATCAAGCTAGCTCTCAATAACAAAGCATACCGCAGAAATTTCTCTAATACATGGAAATTGAACAGCACACTCCTTAACAAGGCCTGGGTAACAGAAGAGATCAGAGAAGAAATAAAGCATTTCCTAGAACTCAATGAAAATGAAAACACCTCACAAAGAAACTTGTGGGACACAGCAAAAGCAGTCCTGAGGGGCAAATTTATTGCCCTCAGTGCCCACATCAAGAGAATGGAGACAGACCAAGTAAATAATCTCATGTTGCAACTAAAACAGCTAGAAAAACAAGAAAAAATGGGACCTAAAGCTACTAGACGAAGCCAGATAACCAAATTGAGAGCAGAGATTAACCAATTAGAAAATCAGAAAACCATAACCAAAATAAACCAAACAAAAAGCTGGTTCTTTGAAAAAATAAACAAAATTGATGGCCCGTTGGCAAGATTAATTAAAAAAAGAAGAGAGGAAACCCATATTAATAGGATTAGGGATGCCACGGGAAACATCACAACACGCACCCAAGATATCCAAACAATTCTAACAGACTACTTTCAAAAGCTATACTCTCTAAAGGAAGAAAATCTGGCGGAAATGGATGCATTTTTAGAGAAATACAAGTTACCCAAACTGAGCAAAGAAGAAGTTAACCAATTAAATAAGCCAATATCCTATAATGAGATACAGGAAGCTATCAAAAGTCTTCCAACAAAAAAAAGCCCAGGACCAGATGGATTCACAGCAGAATTCTATAAGACCTTTAAAGAAGAACTAATACCCATACTCCTCAAGCTCTTCAGAGAAACAGAGAAGGAGGGAGCTATCCCAAACTCATTCTACGAAGCCAATATCACACTCATCCCCAAACCAGGCAAAGACCCAACCAAAAAGGAGAATTACAGGCCAATCTCCTTGATGAACACAGATGCAAAGATCCTTAACAAGATTCTAGCTAACAGAATCCAGAAACACATAAAAAAAATAATACACTATGATCAGGTAGGCTTCATCCCAGAGACACAGGGATGGTTTAACATACGTAAGTCAATAAATGTAATCCAGCATATCAACAGAGCCAAGGTCAAGAATCACATGATTATCGCCACAGATGCAGAAAAGGCCTTTGATAAAATTCAACATTCATTCATGCTAAAAGCTCTGGAGAAAATAGGAATAGAAGGAACATTTCTAAAAACAATAAAAGCCATTTATGACAGACCAATAGCCAATATTATACTTAATGGGGAAAAGCTACAACCAATCCTCCTAAAAACAGGAACAAGGCAAGGATGTCCACTGTCTCCACTCCTCTTCAACATAGTCCTAGAACCCTTAGCCAGGGCAATAAGGCAAGAAAAAGACATTAAAGGGATCCGCATAGGGAAAGAAGAAGTGAAAATATCCCTTTTTGCAGACGACATGATACTATACCTCCACGATCCCAAAAACTCCATCCCCAAACTTTTAGAAATCATAAGTCACTTCGGCAAAATAGCAGGATACAAAATAAACCCACAAAAATCAGTTGCCTTCCTATACACTGATAACGCACAGGAGGAGAGGGAAATAAAGGGAGCAACCCCATTCACAATAACCTCCCAAAAAATAAAATATTTAGGAATTAACCTAACCAAAGATGTAAAAGAACTATTTAATGAGAACTATAAAAAGTTAAAGAAAGAAATTGCAGAAGACACTAGGAAATGGAAAGACCTCCCATGCTCCTGGATAGGCCGACTTAATATAGTAAAGATGGTGATACTTCCAAAACTAATATACAAATTCAATGCAATTCCTATTAAAATCCCAATGACATACATCACTGAAATACAGAAAACAGTCCAAAAATTTATATGGAACAACAAAAGACCTAGAATAGCCAAAACAATTCTAGGGGATAAAGACAATATGGGAGGGCTATCCATGCCGAACTTCAAACTCTACTACAGAGCTATAATCACAAAGACAGCATGGTACTGGCACAAAAACAGACCCGAAGACCAGTGGAACAGAATAGAAGATCCAGATATAAATCCACAGGCCTACAGCCAGCTGATATTCGACAAAGGAGCCAAAGACATACAATGGAAGAAACACAGCCTCTTCAACCGCTGGTGCTGGGAAAACTGGGCAGCCACATGCAGAAAACTAAAAGTGGACCCCAGCCTATCACCATGCACCAACATCAACTCAAAATGGATTAAAGACCTTAACATTAAACCTGAATCTCTGAAACTACTACAGGACAGAGTAGGAGAGACACTTGAACTAATAGGCACAGGAAGGAACTTCCTGAACAGAGTCCCAGGGTCACAACAAGTTGGAGAGAGACTCGACAAATGGGACTACCTTAAAATAAAAAGCTTCTGCACAGCTAAATCTATCGCAACTAAGCTAGAAAGACAACCAACTAATTGGGAAAAAATATTTACCAGCAATATATCAGACAAGGGGTTAACATCCTGTATATACAGGGAACTCAAGAAACTAATCCCTCCCAAACCTAACAAGCCAATTACTAAATGGGCAAGGGAACTAAAAAGGGACTTCTCAAATGAAGAAATAAAAATGGCAAAGAAACACATGAGGAAATGTTCATCATCCCTGGTGGTGAAGGAAATGCAAATAAAGACAACCCTGAGATACCACCTTACCCCAGTCAGAATGTCCCACATCCACAAATCAGCCAACGACAAATGCTGGAGGGGATGTGGAGAAAGAGGAACCCTATTACACTGCTGGTGGGAATGTACACTTATACAACCACTTTGGAAAGCAGTCTGGAGGGTCCTTAGAAAGCTAAAGATTGACCTCCCTTACGACCCAGTCATACCACTTCTAGGCATCTACCCTGAACAACAGGAACCAATATACAAGGACACGTGCACCTCCATGTTTATTGCAGCACTGTTCGCAATAGCTAGGATATGGAAACAACCTAGGTGCCCCACCACAGATGAATGGATCCAAAAATTGTGGTATCTATACACAATGGAATATTATGCAGCCATTAGAAATGACAAAATAATGGCATTTGCAGGGAAATGGATGGAGCTAGAAGGAATCATGTTGAGCGAGGTAAGCCAAGAACGAAGAGACAAACGGTACATGGTCTCCCTCATAAGTGGATGCTAAATCCAAAAGGTTAGGTGATACGACAAAACTAACAGGACTTAAGAAACAAAGAACTCCCGCTCATCTGGTTGAACCACTACTAAATATCCTCATGCTGCTGATCACAAATATGGTATATAACATGTGAACACTGTTATATATTACAGACTGTGGTAGACAATTTGCTCCAGGGAAGTTAGAATGAACTTGTGACTTTGAAATTATGTAATCATTTAATCACAATAAAAAAAAAAAAAAAGAACCTCGGGGAAGGGAGGGAGGGAGGGGATGGTAGGGGGAAAACAATGGAGGGGGTAACAATGTTCAAGAGGAAGTGTACTCATAACCTCACTCATGTAACTGTAACCCTCTGTATAGTAGCTTTACAATAAAAAAAAAATTACAAAAAAAAATAAAATAAAATAAAATTCATCTTTTTATGAGTCTCCTCAAAACTCTTGGACTATCAGACAGAAATCTTGGGAAACAGACTACTCACAGCATGTTTTTTTAAAAAAAAAAAAAAAGAAAAAAGAAAAAGAATAATGAAAACATAGGATGTTACTTAGATGCTGTTTTTGTTAAAGCCAAGGATATGAAAAGTAACTTTTTTGTTTCTTTTTACAGAATGACATCACTCCTTTACACGTTGCATCGAAAAGAGGAAATGCAAATATGGTAAAACTATTGCTTGACCGAGGAGCTAAAATTGATGCCAAAACCAGGGTAAGAGTGCTACTCGCATGCATGTGTGTACTTCCTTTTTTTCTTATTTCTTTTTTATTGTCAAAGTGATGTACAGAGGAGATACAGTTACATAAGTAAGGTAATAAGTACATTTCTTGTCAAACTTGTTACCCCTTCCCTCATTTTTCTCCCACGTTCCCTCCCCCCAAGGCCCCAAGTTGTACAGCTCATTTCTGACGTATTGTCTTATGCATATCACTGTTGCATTGGTTCCCCTTGTCCTTTGTCTCACCATTCTGTTGTTCCCCTTCTCTTCCCTAATTCAAATAAATGTATATACAATACCAGGATACCAAAATCAAATACAGTGACAAGATATACCATAGGAGAAAGAACATACAAAAGAAACAAAAAATCACATAGTACATTAAAAACAACAATAACAACAAAGAAAAATCTCTTAGGTCCATGTCTTGGAGTTCATTTCACTTAGCATCATCTTATATGGTCATGTGTACATAGCTATTGAGCTATTCTGCTCATCGGATAAGATTTATCCTAGATGTATGCTAATTGTTGCAAATAAGGGAAACCATGGGATCTATGTTTCTTTGGGTCTGTCTCATTTCACTTAATAAGATTTTTTTCAAGTCTTTCCATTTCCTAACAAATAGGGTGTTGTCATTCTTTCTGAAGGAAGCATAAAATTCCAGTGTGTGTGTGCGTGTGTGTGTGTGTGTGTGTGTGTGTATCACATTTTCTTGATCCATTCCTCTACTGAGGGGCATCTGGTTTGGTTCTATATCTTAGCTATGGTGAATAATGCTCCAATAAACATAGTTGTGCTGGTAGCTTTAGTATGGCCTTGCTTGGCTCATTTGGGTAAGTGCCCAGAAGTGGGATTGCTGAGTCATAGGGGAGCTCTATGTGGAGACTTTTGAGGAACCTCCATACTGCTTTCCAGAGTAGTCAAACAAGTTTAAACTCCCACCAACAGTGCAGTAGTGTTCCTTTTTGGCCACATCCCCCCCAGTATCTGTTATTAGATTTCTTGATTATAGTCATTCTTACTGGGGTGAGATGGAATCTCAATGTTGTTTTGATTTGCATTTTTTCATATGTCTATTGACCATTCTTATTTCCTCTTCAGAGAGGTCTAAGTCTTTAGCCCACTTACTAATGGGGCAGTTGTTTCTTTGAGGATTTGTTTTTGAAGGATTTAATTTTTTGAGTTCTAAGTATATTTTAGATATAAGGCCCTTGTCTGTTGTATGGCTAGTGAAGATCTTCTCCCAATCCCTGGATTTTCTATTGATCTTCCTAACTATGTCCTTTGCCGTGAAGAAGCTCTGCTGTTTCATACAATCCCATTTGTCCAACCTTTCTTTGATTTGTTGTATTTCTAGGTCTTTAATTTAAGCCTGTGACAAGGAGCCCTAAAGTTTCTCCTATTCCTTCCTGTAATGTTTTGAGGGTGTCTGCTTTGACTTCGAGGTCTTTGATCCATTTGGAGTTGATTCTGGTGCAGGGTGATATATAAGGATCTAACTTTAGTTTTCTACAGGTGTTTAACCAATTTTACCAGGACCATTTACTGAAGAGACTGTCTTCCATCCTATTTTTTTGGCTCCCTTATCAAAGATTAGGTGGCAATAGGTCTGCGGGTTCATTTCTGGATCTTCAGTATTATTCCATTGGTCCTCAGGTCCGTTCTTGTGCCAGTACCAAGTTGTTTTGATTATTATGACTTTGCAATAGAGTTTGAAGTTTGGTATTCATATTCCTCCAGCACTGTTCTTTCTGCTAAGGATTGTTTTTGCTATTCCGGTCTTTTATTGTTCCATATGAATTTTTGGATTGCTTCTTCTATTTCATTAAAGAATGAGGTTGGGATTTTGATGGGTATTACATTGAATTTGTAGACAGCCTTTGGAAATATTGCCATTTTCATGATGTTAATCCCCCCAATTCAGGAGCATGGGAGGTTTTTCCAATTCCTTAGTTCTGCTTTAATTTCCTCTTTCAGGTTTTTAAAGTTTTCCTCATAGAGGTCCCTTACTTTTTTGGTTAATTCCTGGGTATTTTATTTTTTGTGGGCTATTACAAAAGGAGTTGCTTTCCTGATTTCAGCTGGGCTCTTTTCATTATTGGCATACAGGAACACCCCTGATTTTTGAGGGTAATGTTATACCCTGCTACTTTGCCAAAGTTTCAGATCTGCACAAGTAACTTGGGAATGGAGTCAATGGAGTTTTTTAAATACAAGATCATGTCATCTGCAAAGAGGGAGAGTTTTACTTCCTTTTTCCCTATTTGGATCCCCTTCATGTTTGCATCTTGCCTTATTGCTCTAGCTAGGCATTCTAATACTAGAATGGATAGAGTGAATATCCTTGTCTCATTCCTGAATTTAGAGGAAATGACTTTAGCTTTTCACCATTAAGTGTAATGCTAGCTGTAGGTTTGTCATACACAACCTTTATTGAAGAATGTTCCATGGATTCCTAGTTTCTCCAGAGCTTTCATCATCAAGGGGTGTTGGATCTTGTCAAAGGCTTTCTTTGAGTCTATTGAGATGATCATCTGGTTCTTACCCTTGCTCTTGTTGATGTAATGAATTACATTAATTGACTTACATATATTGAACCAGCTTTGCATCCCTGAAATGAATCCTGTTTGATTATGGTGTATGATTTTTTTTGATGAGTTGTTGAAGTCGATTGGCCAGCATTTTGTTGAGAAGTTTTGCATTGATATTCATCAAAGAAATGGGTCAATCATCCTCTTTCTTTGATGAGTCCCTGTCAGGTTTGGGGATGAGGGTCATGCTGGCTTCATAGAGTGAACTTTCACTTTCAATTTCATTGAAGAGTTGGAGGAGTATTGGTGTGAGCTCTGCTTTGAAGGCCTTGTAGAATTCAGCTGTGAATCTGTCTGGTCGTGGGCTTTTCTTGGAAGGGAGGTCTCTTATTGCTGTTTCTATTTCAATGCTTGATATGGGTCTGTTTAGTTGGTTTAAGTCTTCTTTGTGTAGTTTTGACATATCAATATTTGCTATAAATTCTTCCATTTCTTCCACATTCTCAAATTTGTTAGCATAAAGGTTTGAGAAGTATTCCCTTATAATGTTCTGAAGCTTGGTTGTTTATGTGGTGATGTTTCCATTCTTAGCTCTGATTTTGTTTATATTTGGGTGTGTTCTTTTCTTTTTTTGGTAAGATTTGCTAAGGGTCTGTCCATTTTGATAATTTTTTCAAAGAACCAACTCTTTGTTTTGTTGATTCTTTCTATGGTTTTTTTGGGGAGGAATTTTAATTCATTTAATTCTGATTTAATTATTTGTTTCTGATTACTGGATTGGGGTTTGGTTTGTTGCTCTTTTTCAAGGAGCTTCAGGTGCATCATTAAATTGTTGGTTTGAGATCTCTCCAATTTGTTGATGTAGGAACTTGGAGCTATAAATTTTCCTCTGAATTCTGCCTTCACTGTGTCACTGGTAATTTGTATGTTCATTTTTGTTAAATATTATGAACATTTGAATTTCCTTCCTAATCTCTTCCATGACCCACTGGTGGTTCAACAGTGTGTCGTTCAGCCTCTCTGTGTTACAGGATTTTCTTTGGTGGCTTTTGGTGTTTTATTCCCTTGTATTCCCTAATTTTATTCCCTTGTATTCTGAGAGAATGCAGGGAATAAATTCAATGTTTCTGAATTTGGACAGATTTGCTTTGTGAAGTGGGAATACTGTCCCAAATACTTTTGCATTGGTTAACTAACTGCTGGCTTCTTTTCTGTTTCATTTATTCTAATCTCTTGAAAAATAACTATCACATTTTTGGGTGTTTTGCGGGGGGAGTGTCCATCATGGAGCTTGAACTCTGGACCCCATCCCTGAGCTTCTATACTCAAAGCTAGTACTTTACCTCTTTGAGCCACAGCACCACTTCTGGTTTGACGGTGGTTAATGGGAGATAAAGAGGCTCACAGACTTTCCTGTCCAGGCTGGCTTTGAACTGTGACCCTCAGATCTCTGCCTCCTGAGTAGCTAGGATTACAGGAGTGAACCTTCAGCACCCAGCTGACATTTTTTTTTTCTTAAAATGGGGTAGCCATCCATATTTATACATCATGAATACATGTTTAAATAGCATCTGCCTTAATTATAGAAACAAGGTCTACTGTGTAGAGTTTGAGTCTATTCAATTTTCAACAATTACTTGACATTACAGGCTGAACTATTTGGTCAGTTTGATATTAAAATAGATAGTTTTTTTTAATTGAAAACTAAATTTACTCTTCTTCACTGCTGGTAGGAATCTAAAATGCTGTGGTCACAACAGGAAACAGTATGGACATTCCTCAAGAAGTTAAAAATAGGACTGCCATATGGTCTCTCTCTATCCTGCTTCTGGGTATAGATACAAAATAATTGAAAGCACAGATATTAGCACCCTCATATATATTACAGCATTATTTGCAAGAGCCAAGAGCTGGATTAAAAACTTAAATGTTGATTAATAAATGCATTTTAAAATGTAGTATGTACATAGAAATGAAATAATATTTAGCCACAGAGAAAAAGGAAATCATATCACATGGAGGAACGTAAGGACTTTATGCTGAGAGAAATAAGCCACTCACAAAAGCAGGAATAGGGTATAATTCCACTTCTATGAGTTACCTATAAAGAGTCAAAATCATGGAAATAGGATGGAGCTATAGCTTCATGCTAAAGCATGTGCTTAACCATGTATGAGGCCCTGGGTTCAATCCACATCGTCAAAGCATAAAAATGTAGAAATATAAAATAAATTGTGGTGGTAGGAAGGAGAAATTGAGGAATTTTTTTAATAAAGCAAGGATAGAAGGTTCTATAACTCATTCTACCACAGTGTGACCTAGTTGACACCACTGGAATATGCACTTAAGAATGGTTTTTAATTCTAGCTACTCAGGAGGTTGAGATCTGAGGATCATGCTTCAAAGCCATGGAAGGAAGGTTTTTCCAGTACTGAGATTTGAACTCAGGACCTTATGCT